AACCTGGTATGGTGCAAGTTCTTTGTAGGCCACACCGGTTCGCCATGTGACCTGCATTAAGACAGTTGTAGCTTATTCTCTCGTGCGAATTTAAATCGGTCGTCTGTCTTCATGCCCTTGAACTGGTCGCATCCAAAGAGTGTATGATTGCCATCACACTTGAGGCAAACTCTTCTATGCAACTGAACCCTGTCTGAAACAGGAGCGGCATGTTGCTGCTGACTACCGGATGCAGAAACGCTGTAACTCGAACCCTTGCCTTGTCGCCTACTAGACCGGTTCTTCTCAGCAATCTTCTGCGGTTCAGCCATCACACCATACACCGGGTCATTCGCCTCTTCAGCTGCATCTTGCACAAATTGTGCTATGTCATTGATGTTCGGACTTCTGTCCTTCTGCCTCCGAATTTGCATGGCCTGCTTCTTCCAGCGATTTTGCAGGTAAGTCGGCAGCCTAGCAATCACCCTGACAAGAGTTGTCTGGGAATTGATCTCCTGCAGATGACCAGTCGCTCGAAGGGTCTCTTGGCAATTCTGCAGGTCATCGGAGAAATCTTGTAGACCATCCCTGTCATTTGGTCGCATGGATGACCCTTCAGTGACCTTTCTGATCCATGCTTCCGCAATGACATAGCTGCTACCAAATCTTTGTTTCAGTAGCTGTCGGGCCTTAGCATAGCCTTGATCTGGCTCCATAGCTAAGCAGCACTGGATGACCTTCCTGGCCTTGCCACTGCAATACTGTAGAAGTCTCAACAGCTTAGAACCGCTGTCTATTGTGCCCTTCTCAACAGTATTATCAAAGGCGCGCGTGAAGACCCAGTATTTCAGCGGTCCCCATCAAAGGTCATCAGCTCAGCCGTCGGCAGCTGCATCATGTCCCGGGACATCGTGCGCATGAACTCTTCGTTCAGAGTTCTGCTTTCACTGGCGCCTTCCTCAACAACCATCGAGCGGTTGTCTCGCCTCTCCTCCCATTCCTCGGCATGAGGATTGAGCTTAGACATCTGGGGTGGGCTTCTCTGCATACCGGCAGCTTCAGGAGATGCGCCGGCCTCGACATTGTCAGCCCAAGAGACAATGAATGCATGCTTCTCCTTGTTGAGTAAGGTAGACTTGGGTTCAGGGCCTCTTTGCTCAGCCAGATGAACACTCGTCAGGCCAACCGCTTTTTCAGACAGCCTTTCCCTAGTGAGAGAAGTACCACTGACATCAAGCACTCCTCGATCACTAGGATGAACATTCGTCGGGTCTTCTTCACGTTCCGCATTCGCCCAGGCCTCTTCTTCTGCTGCTGCCTTCGAAATTTCGGTTTCAAGGCGCAACGTTTCCCTTCTCTGCCGAAGCTGCATCTCTTCTTCTTCACGTCTTTGCTGGAACTGCCTTTCCTCGTCTTCTCGTCTCCGCACCAGCTCCTTTTCGCCCTTGTCTCGTCTCCGCCGCAGCTCCATCTCGTCCTCATCGAGCTTCTGCTGAGCTTTCAAGGTTGAGGCCTCAGCTAGGAGAATTGCCTTCTTTGCTGCTGCTGCTGCCTTAGCTCTGGAACTACCCATTGATGAAGTAGTTCTTCTGCTACTGGTAACACTGCAGGCTATCTCACTAGCTGCTTTGGCACCCACTCCTTGAGCAGCACCAGCATGCTCGAGATAGGTCTTCACCTCCTCTTGCATGAGGGGAAATTTCTTCTCCACCTCATCAAGGTAACTCTGGGACTCTTCCTTCTCCGGCTCCTCAACCAGCAATCTCATAAATTCAAAGTGAGACAAGCGAAATCTATCCATGGCAGTGGACAGACCGTCTGACGCTCGGCGAACCGCCGTGACATCATTGTCACGCAACAGTTCCTTCAACTCGTTCTCCCTCCGGGTGAACTCGGCCTTCGCGCCCCCTCGGGTCTGCTTCAGGCGCCGCATCTTCTCAGAGATGGCACCCTCCTTCTCCATGGCAACGTACGCATTGCCCTCTTCTTCCATGCTCCTGGTCCCTCAGCGGTTTCAGGTTCGGTCCCTCACAGTTCGCCACGGTCGTCTTGGTCCACGAACTGCACTGGATCCCCAAACAGGTCCAATAATAAATTATTGAACTAATATGGCGGGTGACATGTCGCGGGTAGGCTTTCCGTGACTGTTTGGGGGTGACGGGTGACGTACAACTAGCAAAGCCAGGCTGTATTTAAACTCATACTTTATTATCAACAAGTGACATTAAAAGCTTTCAATACACTTAATTATTGATTTTGAAATTGAACTAGCAGGTATATTTAGAACTTTGTATTAAATAAATTATGCAAGAAGTAAGAATAATAAACTAATAATATTTATTAATTCTTCGGTTTAATTATATAATTTTCAAATGTATGAACTTCAAATTCATGATATATACACTGATACACAGAAGATACACACAATATATACATTGATGAAGCGAGCATTATTTTGGAATGTGAAAACATTCACATTAAACTTAATTAATTAATTTTAACTATTTAAAAACTTTCAACACAATTAATTATTTTTTTAATTAAAATGAACTAGCAGGTATATTTCGAAATTAGAACTGTATTAAATAAATTATGCAAGAAGTAAGAATAATAAACTAATAATATTTATTAATTCTTCGGTTTAATTATATATTTTTCAATGGCTTCCTCAAGCAATCCTAGCTGGACTAGAACCCGAATTGCTGTTCCTGTCGAGTACGGCGGTAGTCGTCGCTCATTAGTATGGCGGTAGACGTCGCCAGTGCCGACTTTCGCTTTCTGCATTTCACAATAACAGTTTTGATCTACACTTTTCAATATTTTCACTAATATACTACCGTACACCCGTGGGAATACCCCACAAGACCGTGGTCGAGATTGCATATAGATTATACCGGTCCATATCAGAACAAGATGTGGCTGATTATTGTGGACGCATATTCCAAGTGGGTGGACGGACGTTCATCTTCTGCATTCGGTCTTCCAACGACAGTAGTATCGGACAATGGTACGAACTTTGTGAGTGAGATGTTTCAAACATTCATGAGTCGCAATGGTATCAAGCATGTCAAAGTTGCGCCGAAGCATCCTGCTTCAAACGGATTGTGGAAAGGACCGTGCAATTAGTCAACGAGCGAATCGATAAACAGAAAGTTGGTTCTGTGGAAACGAAGGTTGCGCGGTTCCTGTTCAAATACAGTTCAACACCGCATGTTGTCACCGGTAAAACTCCAACAGAGTTGATGTTGGGGCGTTAAATTCGTACACATCTGGAATTAATGCATCCAGATAGCCGAAGCCGTGTGGAGGAGAATATTGCTAAGCAGAAGCAATATCATAATAGGCATGCCAGGGACAGGCAATTTGAGGGGGGGAATCAGGTCTATGTGAAAAACTTCAGTTCTGGTCCATGCTGGATAGCTGGAGTGATATCAGTGAAATCTGGGCCTGTTTCCTATGTTGTGCATCTGACAGAAGGTCGTGATGTGCGCCGTCATGTTGACCACATCAGGTCACGGGTGAGGGCAGAGGCTGAGCCAGATTTGAGGGAATCCGTGCCGGAGGCTCAGACAGAACTATAATATGTGTACAATGTTTGGTTATGTGACCGCCATGATAGAAGGCTGTACTTTATTTATAACATAGATGGCAGCACCTTCTGGTACTGTGTAAACCATACATGACATCTCCTTTGTTTTACATGATACTGTATCTAAACTGCACTGTACTATCTAAATACAATCAAACAAATATTATAATTAACACAGGTAATTTTCCAATCTTTGGTTGATCGATTATACAGCTTGTTACACTGACATAATTAAACTTTCCACTTTAAACACCATTCAGAGATTCACGACACATATGCTTCATTCATTCAGTGCAATAGCTTAACTATTCATAGTCACGAAGATAGGCAGGTCTCCTGGTGATTCTACCCGAACGCCTAACCTGCTGTTTTGCCTCACCACTAGCACTAACTCGGTTTGTCTCAGAACTAGCCACTCGCTGAGGACTCTGATCTTCCACCGTGTTTTGCATCTCTTCCTCAATTTCATGAACTGGTTCAGGCACTGTCCGTTCTCCAGTCTGAATAATGTCTCTACGATTCCTGCGCAGCTGTTTCCCGTTGACGTCTAGGATGTACGAACGGTTTTGTGCGTCGTAGACATTATTCACCTTTGCAGGTTCCCATGGCGTCCTCTCTGCTTTCCTGTACCTAACGACTTCTCCTGGTGTTAGTAGAGTCAACGGCTTGGTTGTTCTGTCGTAGTGTTTCTTGTACACTTTTTGCCGAGCCCTCAGACGTGCATGGTCTTCACCAGACCAGTCCACTGATGGTTTCAGGACTGATTTGGTTACTGGCAACCTCGTTTTCAGCCTGCGGCCCATGAGCAACTGCGACGGGCTTTTGTCAACACCCTCTAGTGGTGTATCGCGATATGCCATCAAGGCCAGATATATATCACCACCAGCTGCTTCTGCTTTCTTCAGCATGTTTTTTACGGTTTGTACATAGCGCTCTGCTTGTCCATTCGACTGTGGATAACGCGGGCTTGACGTGTCGTGTACAAAACCCCAGTCCTTCGCATAGTCTCGGAACTCTTTGCTAGAAAACTGCGGTCCATTGTCGCTGAAGACGGTGTCTGGTATCCCGTGACGTGCAAATATAGATTTGAATGCATTGATTGTCGCTCTACTCTTCTCGTTGTCAAGCAGTACTATTTCCGGATACTTCGAATAGTAATCGACACAGATTAAGTAGTCTCGCTGACGGAAATGAAATAGGTCCGCACCTACTTCTGCCCACGGCGATCGTGGTACTCCGTGTGGTATCAATGGCTCTTTACAGTTTGCTCTGCGGTTTTCTAAGCACACTTTGCAACGAGTGATCATCTGCTCAATATCATCATTCATGCTCGGCCAATACAGCAGATCCCGAGCACGGCGTTTACATTTCACCATCCCTAGGTGGGACTCATGGATGATCTGCAGCATTTCATGGCGTAATTTTGAAGGCACTATGATGCGTTGCCCTCGGTACGCGATTCCATCGATCACTGTGATCTCATCTTGATATGTCCTATATCTGCCCAGTTCTGGATCAATATGGCGCTTGCTTGTCGGCCATCCAGTCATGACTGCCGCATGCAGTTTCTGCAACACTGGATCAGATTGGGTTGCTTCCCTGAAACGTCAGGCGTTGCGGTGTGATCGGTAAGTTGTCTCAATACTAACAACTTCCAACTCCTGGCAGTGAACCTTTTCATTGAGACAGGCACGACTGAGTGCATCTGCAACATGCATCTCTTTTCCAGGTTTGTACACCATTTCGAACTGGTATTTTCGCAGTGTCATGCACATGCCTTGAAGTCGTGGCGTAATTCGATAAATCGGCTTCGCACATATCGAGATCAGTGGTTTTGGTCCGTTTCAATAATGAGCTTTGCGACCATATATGTATTCATGAAACTTCTGCGTTCCAAATACAACTGCTAGTAGTTCACGTTCGATTTGCGCATATCGTCGTTGCGTGTCATTCATCGCTCTTGATGCATATGCGACTGGTCTCTCGTCTTGCAGTAACAACCGCACCCAGTCCAACGAACTCGCATCCACTGATAATGTGACCGGTTTCTCATTGTCAAACAATTTCAACACAGAGATTCGGACACTAGCTTCTTCGTTTTCTCAAAACTACTCGTTGTTGTGCTTCCCAGTGCACGCAACATCTTTACGTGTAAGCTGCCGCAGAGGTTCTGTTACCTCTGACAGATTTGGAAGAAACTTTCCCAAATACTGTACCATGCCCAGGAATCGCATCACTGCACTTTTGTCCTCTGGTTCTGGCATTTGCGTGACTGCTCTGATTTTCTCTGGGTCCGCTTTTAAGTCCTTCTTTACTATGATGTGCCCGCAATACTTCACTTCTTGTTCCAGTAGTGCAAGTTTGCTACTATTAAGTGTGACGCCATTGTCACACGATGTTTGCAGCATCTCTCGACATGCAGCATTGTGTTCATCCACTGTATTACCCCATACAAGGACATCATCTACGATACATGCTACATGTGCCAGGTCCTCGTAGATCTCATTCATCTTTTTACAGAAGACCTCTGGTGCGGAACTGATCCCGAACGGTAAACGGAGGAACCGATATCGCCCGAAAGGAGTATTGAATGTTGTCAATTTCGTACTTACTTTGTCGAGAACGATTTGCCAAAATCCGCGAAGTAGCATCGAACCTGAGAAAACTTCGCGTTTGCACACTTGGTTGATTTCATCGATAGTCGCATAGAATAGTGTTCACGCCGAATCGCGCGATTGAGATTGATCGGATCAAGGCAAATACGTAACTTGCCATTGGGTTTGTTGACTATCACGCAACTGCTTACCCAATCGGTGGCTCATCAACCTTGACGATGACCTCTGCCCCGCCATTCGATCCAGTTCATCTTTGAACCTATCCTGTAGCGCCAATGGTACCTTTCTCGGCGGCTCTACGACCGGTGAAACTGTGGGGTCCAGTGTAATATGGTGTTCTCCAGGCATTCGACCGAGTCCCTCAAACACATCACTAAACTCCGACAGTAAAGCATCTTTATTCTGTGGAGTCTTGGTTTCTACCACATGTACACGTTTAACCATTTTTAGGTCAGTACATGCCACGATGCCCCAACACCGGTGCTACTGGTCACGCACGATGTAGAACTCTAGTTCTTGACTGTGCTGCCGATACTGACATGGCAACTTTACCACGCCTAGCGGTGACATTCTTGCATTGTTATATGCTACCAGTTTTATTTTAGTTTTGGCAACAACAGTAGATGATGACTTCACCTTATCAAATGTTGCTTCAGGTAACACATGGCTTGTGCGCCTGTATCCAGTCTTACGCTTATCTGGTGTTGAGTTAATGCTCACCTTTTCAAGCCATTCGTCTGCACGAGTTACACTGTCAATCGCCAAGACAGCCTATAAACAACTCGTTCTGTCTGTCATCTAACTCAACTGTTTCGACTTTTCTCATCCTTGTTTGACTTTTGGCTTCGACCGACAACGGTTAAGCACCAAACAATATGAGTTCTTAGTGTACAAAAAGCGCAATCAGTAAACTTGAATTCACACCCGGTTGAAATTATTAAGGTCTATTATGATCCTTTAATATTTTGAGTACCGGTAGTGCATTTAATTTATGAACAATTATAAACAATGCACCCCAAGAAAAAAAATTATCATACAATAATATACAATACAAAATACAAAATAATACATAAAAATACAATTTTAATTGCTTTATGCATCCTCGTTATAAACGATACTCTCTCCCAAATTCACCAAACAAGCACACACAGTGATAATTTGTCAATCCTCGCAAGCTGAACATCCATAGCTTCATCCTTGACGGACTTATAAAATTAATAGGAAGGGGACCCTGTAAAATTGTGTACCTGTTTTTAGTACACAATGACTCTCTCAATATGAATACGAATAGAAGCCAGCTTACGAGACACTTCAACTTCCTGGGCAGATAATTGACTTTTACCCTTGGTAAAGGCTGGTATAATAAATTCTGCACCAACCTCAATTGCAAAATCTTCTTGCACAATAAAGCCACGGTCAGCAAGAATCTGGTCTCCAGGTGCATGAAAATCAAGGTTAATGAATCAGATTTTCGAATTAGCTCAACGTGACTGACACGGCCACCCATGCCGTTGATATGTAAGAAATGGCACCTAAAGGTGTGCAACCTATAAACACTTTCATAGTATTATGCTTTTTGTAACTACTGTAAGTCTGAGCTCTGGCCTTTAATTTTTTTGCTTGATCTATAAAAATTTCAAAGCAGTCTACGATACAGGTAAGTCTGGGATAGCAACGCTTGAAGACCAGGGGAAGTGTTTTGCGCATGGCTTCTGCATCTGGACTTGTAATCAGGTAACCAAGGTTTGTATACATAATGTCTACCACTTCCAAAATATCTTGATTACAGTGGTTTCCCTATGCTGGTATGGATAGCTAAAAAATCAAATGTTACACCTGTGCGAAGTTTGACTAGTGTTATGAAAAATTGGTCCATAGGTGACATGACATTCCTGTGTTGCATAACACTTGGAATAAATGCTGAAAGGAGTTGAAGGTTGTGAGCAAAACAATCCATGATAGTCCAGTACTGTGTTTACACTTAGAGTCATTTTCATGAACGAGCCAGCAGTAAAAGAAGCTTTTTGTAGTTTCTCCTTAGTTTGTTGCAACTGGTCTAGGGCTGCATCTCTTTCGGCACGCAAAGAATTCATTTCATCGTACAGCATGGTTCTCTCACTTGCTGAAACCGGGGTTGCAAATGAGGCCGGCGATGAATTTTCAGAGTTCTGCGACGGTCCTGGTGTTGACAAGATTAAAAGCGCTTCTGCTGCTGATAATTCTTTGGATGGAGACATGATGGGTCCGTCAATGTTCGTGTTGGAATCTGTCACAACACTTGGGGAATCGTACTTAAGACGGCGTCTTTTCACTGCACTGTTGTACCTGTTTATTTTTTTCTCAGCACCATGGTTTGGCTTGTGTTTGACACCGAAGGCACGTAATCTGGATGTGCACTATCTGTATGGTTGGGTTACCTGGAAAAATAACAAAAAAGACACGACTAGTATTAGTTTTAAAATTAAGGATATTGCCCATGCTTTAAATAAAACAAAACATTTTGACATTAACAAGCACATGATCATACATTTTGTAACTACAAATTATAGTCCGATTAT